TCAGTCCGGAAATAATATGGCCAATTTTTTTGTTTTGTTTTCTTTTCCACTAATCATCCTTCGGAAAAGAAGTAAAGCCGTTGGTACCCGGTTAATAAGTTGATGGGTCGATATGTAGGGTCCAGGTGTGGGAGCTGCCTTCCTGGCGTCAGCAGCATTGGTGCTCAGTACGGAAAACAAGATCGACGGAAAAAAAATCAAGGAAAAAAACAGAAAATTGATTATATTTAGCAGTCCGCATCGTGCTCTCTTGCCGTGCGGATCTATTTGCTTTTTGCTGAAGGAAGTGTTACTACTACCTAAAGCTACAACAAATTTAAACAGCACTTTTCAGTGCTCAACCTGTAAAAATTTTCTACCTTGTTCAACTCTTATTCCTCTTCGATCCTTGTTTGGACCCTACCCGAGGTAATCCTTCTTGGATATCGATTTGGAAAATTCCTCTTCGATCCTTCAGATTCTTATAGTAATCTGCTTGGAAGTCGAATTGGATAAAAATTTACTGCCGCCATGGCGCCTAAACGCAAAAGAAAGGGGCAAACTCTTGACCCCCCTTCTGATGAAATTAATTTGAGTAATCAATTTGATTTGCTCACGGATGATGAGAATGATCCATCATCCAAGAAAAATTCTAGTAAACTTTCCCGGCTTAATGCCAAGAAGGAAAAGATTCCCCCTATTGTGATAACCACTACCGATTTCCATGCTCTTCGCATGGAACTTTTGAATTTCGTGAAAGTTAAGTTTTCACTACAAATTGGACGTTGGGGTGAATGCCGTGTATTGGCTGAAACCTTGGACGGATTTAAATGTCTTCTCAAGTATCTTACTGAGAAGAAGCACAAATTTTTTACTTACGACACCAAAACTGAACGTGTGTTCAAGGTTGTCATGAAAGGACTGCCCAGTGGTGAATCCCTGGATCAGATCAAAGATGAACTGGCAAAATTACTTGGAGTTGTGCCACTCCAAGTAATCAAAATGAAAATGAAATCCCGTCCTGGCGATTCGCGCAACGGGATTTCTAATGATTTTTATTTAGTTCACTTCAAGTCTAGTGAACTGAACAACCTCAAGGCCTTAGAAAAAGCTAGCCTTATGCTCCATCAAATGTTCAAATTGTGGTGAAAACCACAAATCCAATTTTTGGGAATGTAAGACTCGCAAAGCGATCCTACAATCTCGTTCTAACCGTCAGGTAGGAAACGCTCCACGTTTCCGACCAGGTACAAATTGCTCTGCTGTTAACAACGGTCAGCGAGGAACAAATTCTACATTCGTACCCGTAGGTACAAATATCTCCCCTGCTTCAAATGTTTCATCTGTACCTACTCCCCTCGCTGCTAGCAATGTTCAGCGAGTTAATGGAGCTACCTATGCTGCTATTGCAGCGGGTAGAAATCAAAATACTAACCAACGTTCTAACGGAAATTTTGACAATTTTGACTTAGGAAGCATTACTGCCCCCAAAATGGAATTTTGACAGAATTCATTAATTGACATGATTTCTGATATGCTTAAATCTAACTCCATGTTTGATGCTATTCAAACTGGAGTAAAATTTGCAAATAATATTGTCATGACTTTAAAATTCAGTAATGGATTTTAAAGCATTAAATATTGTAAATTGGAATGCTCGATCTCTTAAAGATAATGAAGACGAGCTATTTAACTTTTTGAGAGTTCATAACGTGCATATTGCCGTTATAACTGAAACGTTCCTTAAACCTGACCATAAGGTTAAGAAGGACTCAAATTATTTAATTTATAGAAATGATCGTCTTGATGGACCCTGTGGTGGCGTTGCCATCATTATTCATAGACGAATCAAGCATAAAATTCTTTCTTCATTTGAAACCAAAGTTTTTGAAACTTTGGGAGTTTCTGTTGAAACAAAATTTGGACAACTTACGTTTATAGCTGCCTATTTGCCATTCCAATGCGTAGGCCAGCAAAAGAATTTCCTCAAGGGTGACCTCCAGAAACTTACCCGTCATAGGTCTAAATTCTTCATTATTGGCGATTTTAATGCAAAACACCGCTCATGGAATAATGCTCAAAGCAATTCCAATGGTAATATTCTGTTTGATGATTGTTCTGCAGGTTATTACACTATTCAATATCCAAACAGCCCAACATGCTTTTTTTCTGCAAGAAATCCCTCCACTATTGATTTGGTCTTAACTGATTCATGTCAACTTTGTAGCCAATTGGTTACCCATGCTGACTTCGGTTCTGATCACCTTCCAGTAACTTTTGAAATATCCCAAGAAATAATTTGTAATCCCAACAGCTCTACTTTCAATTACCATAGAGCAGATTGGGAGCAGTATCGAACATTTATGGAATATAACTTCGATCCAAACATTCCTTTGCAAACCAAAGATGAAATAAATTATGCTCTTGAATCTCTGACTACTTCTATAGTTGAAGCAAGAGCTGCCTCAGTACCAAAATGCGAGGTTAAATTCGATTCAATTATAATAGACGATGATCTTCAGCTCTTGATCCGTCTTAAAAATGTCCGTAGGAGACAATATCAAAGAACACGCGATCCTGCCATGAAAGTTATCTGGCGGGATTTGCAAAAACAAATTAAAAAGCGATTCTCTGCCCTGAGGAACAAAACTTTTCAAAATAATGTTTCTTAATTAGACCCGAGTTCCAAACCCTTTTGGAAACTCACAAAAATTTTGAAAAAACCTCAAAAGCCTATTCCAGCGCTTAAAGAAGGTGGTAAAATTTTGATCACAAATTTGGAAAAAGCTCAGAAACTTGCTAAGCAATTTGAGAGTTCCCATAATTTCAGTTTGGGCCTTACTAGTCCTATTGAGAATCAGGTTGCTCGGGATTTTCTGAATATTTTCTCTCGGGAAAATATTTTTGATGATTCCTGGGGGACTGATTTGGACGAAGTAAGGTCTATAACTAAAATTTTTCAAAATATGAAAGCTCCAGGTGATGATGGAATTTTCTATATCCTCATCAAAAAACTCCCAGAGAGTACCTTGTCTTTCTTGGTAAAATTATTTAACAGATGTTTCCATTTGGCATACTTTCCTGATAAATGAAAAAATGCAAAAGTTGTTCCAATTTTGAAGCCGGATAAAAATCCAGCTGAAGCTTCTAGCTACCGTCCAATAAGTTTGCTTTCTTCAATAAGTAAACTTTTTGAAAAGATAATTTTGAATAGAATGATGCTTCACATCAATACGAACTCAATTTTTGCAGATGAGCAGTTTGGATTTCGCCATGGGCATTCAACTACTCATCAACTCTTAAGAGTTACCAATTTAATTCGTTTAAACAAATCTGAAGGCCACTCAACTGGAGTTGCTCTTCTAGACATAGAAAAAGCATTCGACAGTGTTTGGCATGAAGGTTTGATTGCTAAATTGAAAAAGTTTAATTTTCCACTTTATATTATGAAATTAGTTCAAAATTATTTAACTGACAGAACTCTTCAAGTAAATTATCAAAATTCCAAATCTAATCGACTACCTGTTAGGGCAGGAGTTCCTCAGGGCAGCATTCTTGGGCCTATATTGTATAACATTTTCACTTCGGACCTCCCTGATTTGCCTCAGGGTTGCCACAAATCTTTGTTCGCTGATGACACAGGCATTTCCGCTAAAGGAAGAAGTCTTCGTGTTATTTGCAGCAGACTGCAGAAAAGTTTAGATATTTTCTCTTCTTATTTACAAAAATGGAAGATTTCTCCCAACGCTTCCAAAACTCAACTTATAATATTTCCACACAAGCCTAGAGCTTCGTTTTTGAAACCTAGTAGTAGTCACATAGTCACTATGAACGGAGTTCCAATTTCCTGGTCAAACCAAGTGAAATATCTTGGATTAATACTTGACCAAAAATTAACTTTTAAAGATCACATTGAGGGCATTCAAGCCAAATGTAACAAATATATAAAATGTTTGTATCCTCTTATAAACAGGAAATCCAAACTTTGCCTGACAAATAAACTTCTAATATTTAAACAAGTTTTTAGACCGGCCATGCTTTACGCTGTGCCAATATGGTCTAGTTGTTGCACTACCAGGAAAAAAGCACTTCAAAGGATTCAGAACAAATTTCTGAAGATGATTTTGAAGTTGCCTCCCTGGTACAGTACTACCGAAGTACATAGAATTTCGAATGTTGAGACTTTAGCACAAATGTCCAACAAAATAATTAATAATTTCAGGAAAAAATCGTTGCAATCCTCAATTGCAACGATTAATTCCCTTTATACTTAGATAAGATTTAGTTTTAGTTTTTAGTTTTAAGATTTCAATTGTTATACTGACATGCAGGTTTGAAAAACCTGTTTAAAATACTGAATTGCTAAGGCAGGAACAATGTAAAAACACTTAGATATATATCATAACAATTAAGGCTGGTAAGTTGCTGTAGTAACTGGAGCACCTAGGTTAAAATGAAATGTAATTTATTTTGAATTTGGAACAAATAAAGAGTTAAAAAAAAAAAAAAGATTATATTTAGCAACTGCAGCTCGAACTGCAGCATACTTACTTACCTCAAGTCTCAAGAATTTCGGAAATTTTGCACTTATTTCCCGAAATTCACAAGTTTTGTTATTGTTTACATTTTTGTCCGGGTGAAAACGAGGGAATGGTTGGTAGTTATTTTTGCATTCATGGCCCGGAGAATGGACACAGCAAATAAATGCTAAATTAAAATGAACTATTGTTGGATCAATAATAGAATATTGTTATTTTTACAATAGTTGCAGTTGAAAAGTGGCTTATTAAAACAAAAATAATCCTATTTTGAATTTATATGAATAAGTATTATTGAAACAACAAAATGCAGTATAATTTCAACCGGAATTGTTTGTTTAAATACAACTAAAGTTTTGTTTGGTTCAATGCAAACAATTTTCTGTCCGTGTTGAAGAAGTTGTAGAGGAAGTTGCCACGTATCATTGGACAGCCAGGACCTCGCGGTTTTACCGTAACATTTGTGAACTCAACGTATTTTTTCGGAGTCGACCACGCCAATTACCGGTAGTGTGTCCGAATCGCAGTTCGAGAATCTGATCCCTCAACTACAGTGTGCGCCACCAATCCAGGCAAGTCAACTTACCCTTGTGGTTCGTTGAAACCTCGAGTCCGTCACCATACTCGAGGGGCGTACGGGACAGGTAGAGGCGTCCACCCCTGGCCCAAGAAGGTGATGCGGTAGCAGAGGAAGGAGAGGAACGACGACGACGGCAGTGGCAGGTGAAGGGGCCCCGAAGACAGAAGAAGAGTAGTGCTAGCACAAGGTAGGAGTAGACATCTAAGGAAGTGGGAGACCGTCCGTGAAGTGAGTGTCATCAAAACGAATAAAGTGGGAGTTTGTCTTAAGTGAACTTTGAGTGTTTTCTTGGTTCGCGGAATTATCACGAGCGTGTGCCGACCCTGAGGCTTGGAGATGGGGGTCTCATCAGTGCTGGGAGTAACACCGCACTGGCACGTTACACTATAATTTTTCAGAATGCAGTGATATGTAAACCACTCTTCTGAAATTTCCTCGAGCAACATCCTTCACCACGTATATCCTCGGCATTTTTCAAATTGAAATCCACCTTAATAGTACCTCTAAACTCGAGACTAAACTATCACCCGAATGAGGATAACCCCGTCAGTGTAAAATCTTATAATAAGCCTCAAAATCCAGGTCACCCAAGAATAGGTTAAGCAAGAAAGGTTTACTGGAACACAACTATAATAAAGTTAATGTTAAAAATATTGAAAACAAAAACAGTTACCATAGCTACCGCTGTTGTTATTTTTGTTCCTCCAGCAGCACCGACTATTAGTTTGACATTGCCATCGTTTCCTGAAATAAACATAAAATGGTTAGTAACACTGTAAGGTTTTGCACCGCCGGGGTTAACCTCAATCTGAAGACAGTTCAGTGGTACTGTTATACTCCGTTCACAGTACAGCCTATATCACGTAATATAGGCTGTCTTGCAATGAGCACTCATACATACACTAATAAGAAGTCAATGATTGTTTGTATGTGTCCCATACATGATTTTTTGTAATGTGGTAAACAAATGATATATATGTGTCGGACACATAGTTCTCATGTGTACACATACAATTCATGTGTAACAACACATACTATTCATTTGACTCATAAATTTCATGTTTATGTGTGGACACATGAAAATCATGTGGAATTTTACATGGAAATTCGCCAATAACAATGTGTCGATGGATTTCCAGTGAATATTAGATGTATGAGTACTCATGGCAAGACAGCGTATATCACGTGATATACGCTGTAATGTGAACGGGGTATTACCAACAATCAAACGAAACTAACGATTTTAAATTGGCTCACCACTTTAGTAGCCTATTGGTCCCAAGCAAACGATTAACGTACCCTATTCTAGTTGAAATTCTATTACTACACTATGTTTGTTTTGATTCGCTATGAAAGTTTGACAGATAACATCAGGGGTGTGTGGATTCATGCAGAACATGCAGGGGTGAGTGAAATAGCTTGGGACTGCTTGGGACCGTTGTTCTGGTACTGAGTGAGCCAAAAATAATAATGATTTTCTTCGGGACCCAGTGGTCTTAGAGTTACCTCTATGGTATTACCATAGAGGTAACGCTAAGACTAGAAGGTCCCTAAATAACGTGCTCAACTTTTTGGCTCAGCTCTGGTACTCTCTTCGGTCCCAAGCTAATCGATTCACCCCTCGAAACATAGGAAAAACCAATAACCCCTCATTTTATCTGTCAAACTTTCATAGCGAATCAAAACAAACATTGTGTAGTACTAGAATTTCGACTAGAATGGGGTACGTTAATCGTTTGCTTGGGACCAATAGGCTAGTCAAGTAGTGAGCCAATTTAAAATTGTTAGTACGAAGAAATACGAAGATTGTCTCTCTCAACGTCTCTGGAAAAAAAGACTAAGTGCTCGTAAACAGTACCACTGAAATATCAAAAAAGTTCAGCCGATTAACACTGAGTTAATTTGTGACGTCACGCTGCAGAGCCTAATTAGGTACACTTAGAAAAAATTACCGACTTCGGTAATTCTTTACCGAATTCTCAACAGCTGAACGGTCGGTAATTTTTTCGGTAAACGAAAAACGAGAAAATTACCGAAAAATCTGTAAACTGAATCAGCAAACTTAGCTGTAAAATTTATCGAACGATCGGTAAAGTTCACCGAAAAAACAAGCTTGATTTGTTATCAACTTTACTGGAAAACTGAAATTTTGGAGTCGATATGAAAAACGAAAACTACCGAAAGATCTCTAATTTTTAATAAAGGTTACCGGCTCAACTACTTTAATATTGTTTTAAAGAATTTTCTTCGTATTTACAATGAAATTAAACACAATTTTCCACGTTCTGATTTCGGCGTTGGTCGCAAGTTGATATTTCTTGGGATATTTCAAAAGTTATTGGAAGGTGATCAGAACCGAATTCAGCATGGGTAACCAATTGGCTACAAAGTTGACATGAATCAGTTAAGACCAAATCAATAGTTGAGAGATTTCTTGCTGAAAATAAGCATGTTGGGCTGTTTGGGTATTGAATAGTGTAATAACCTGCAGAACAATCATCAAACAGAATATTACCATTGAAATTGCTTTGAGCATTATTCCATGAGCGATGTTTTGCATTAAGGGGAAGCTCACCGGCCCAAAAATAAAAAAAATATTTTCGGTACGTTTTTATTTTTCTAAAAATATTGGGAAAAATTATCAAAAATCCAAGAAAATCAGTTTCTTCCTTAGATTTTTGTCAAAAATAACATACAAAATTTTTTTTTCTATCCCATCATGAAAAAAAAATTGGACTCTCAGAAAAACCGAAAAGTTGATGTTTTGTGGTTTTTTGAGTCCAACTTTATGCCATAATAACTTATAAAACATGTTTTTGCACGTGAATTTTCTTTAAAAAATTAGAAAAAATGTGATTTTTTTAGATTTTTGATACCATAGAGATGAACTAGCCTAAGGCTAAAAATCTCTTAAATAAAGAATTAAAAAAAAAAAGACTTTTGATACTTTTTTTTCAATATTTTTAGAAAAATCAAAACGTAATTTTTTTTTTCGGAGCGGTCTGCTTCCCCTTAAAATCACCAACAATGAAGAATGTAGTCCTATGACGGGTAAGTGTGACCCCTGAAAAATGCTTTTCCACGCATTGGAATGGCAAATAGGCAGCTATAAACGTAAGTTGTCCATTTATTGTGTCAACAGAAACTCTCAAAGTTTCAAAAACTTTGGTTTTAAATGAAGAATCAATTTTATGTTTGATTCGTCTATGAACAATGATGGCAACGCCACCACAGGCTTCATCAAGACAATCATCTTGTGATAGAGTCACAAGCCCACAGCGTATATTCATTTACCGCTTTAAATTAAAAAAAAGGGTTGTGTCCTAGACACGACCGCAGTATGACGTAGAACCACGCAAAATTGATGTTTTCCATGCATTTTTGACTATTATACTTTATCTTAAAATTTTCAAGTATTTCAATGTTTCGGTTATGGTTCACTTAAAACAATTTACACATTTTTCTTGACAAATATTCATGTGAAATTCCACATGATTTTCATTTGACCGCAGAATCCACTCAGAAGTACACATACAATTTATGCATGGTTTTTATATGTACATGCATGGTTTTTATATGTACACATATTAAGTATGTGGCCGACACATAAATATCATTTGTTGATCACGTTGCAACAATTCATGTGTGGGACACATAAAACAATATTAGAAATTTTGTTAGTGTTCAATGTTGGCTTGCTAGCTTCTCTATCTATGATGCACCATATATGGATTTAGGTTAACATCCTCCCTCCTTTTTTACATATTCTGCACAAAACATACTTTCTGCCCCACCCCATTCATAAAAAAACGGTGGGAAATCGTGTCAGGTGCGGTTGCACATCGTTCTGCTTGAACCTGAAAAGATATAAAACAGCGCTGCTGTCGTGCCTCTACTCATCAGTGTCATCATTCTCTGCTTGATCGTCAAACAGTACAGTTCGGCTTTTGCTCGCTCTGACGAGTTGTTCGAAAGTTTCTAGTTTGTTCCAAACGTTCGCAGTTTAATCGCGGCGTCAGTAGTGACGGTCACTTCGTGTGATGGGAAGACAGCGCTCCGGGAGCAGGCTCCGAGAGAAAGCGGAGAAGAAGAACAGCGGTGAAGGTAGCTTGAGTGTACCTTTTTTGAATAGGTACGCTACTCTTCCCACCGATGTTAGAAATACCACCTCTGGCACGGTGAAGCGGACCAAGAAAAGGAAGAAAAATCAGGGCCAGTCCGATGGTACGAGTGGACGTGACGATACTACCGCGTCGAACGTCAGCGTCATCGGTGATTTCGGTGACGCCATCGACAATGAGAATTCCGCCGGCCCGAGTGGGCCAAAAATAAAGCTTCCTCCACTGGGCATCACAGCGGAGTTTAAGCTTGGCAGGATCGGCACCAAGGTGATGCTCCATATGAAAGCGGAGTACGAGGTGGTCGTAAAATATTTGAAGGATTCCAATGCGGAATTCTTCACGCATGACATCCCCGGTGAGAAACCCTTCAAGGTAGTCATCAGGGGCCTACCAAACTTCGACCCCAAGATGATCGAAGCCGAAATCAAGTACCGGTACAAGCTGGCCCCAATCGCTGTCTTCCGAATGACAAGAATAGACGAAAATATGAAGACGTACCCGTATTGTCTTTTACTGGTGCATTTCCAGAAAGGGACGGTGACGCTCAATGCGCTGCAAGCCATCCACTCGATCTACTTCATCATCGTACGATGGGAGCCATACCAACAATCAATACGAAACTAACGATTTTAGCCTATTGGTCCCAAGCAAACGATTAACGTAACCCATTCTAGTCGAAATTCTACTACTACACAATGTTTGTTTTGATTCACTATGAAAGTTTGACAGATAAAATGAGGCGTTAGTGAATTTTCCTATGTTTCGAGAGGTTAATCGATTAGCTTGGGATCGAAGAGATTACCAGAGCTGAGCCAAAAAGTTGAGCACGTTATTTTGGGACCTTCTAGTCTTAGAGTTACCTCTATGGCCATACCGTGATGGCCATCGTGACGTAACGCAGTGCCAGCGGTGTCTCAATTTTGGACACGGTACTCACAACTGCAACATCAAGCAACGCTGCAGCAACTGCGCTCACGAACACGCCATTTCTGACTGCCCAGCGGATGGAGCCGTGGCGTTAAAAGGCGCCAACTGTGGTGGTGCACATCAAGGTTCCGACAGACAGTGCTCCAAACGCGAGGACTTCAAACGCATCCGAAAGCAGGCGTCAAGCATCAATCAACCAGGACGCAAGAAGGACAAAACCCCAGCATTCAGGACGGAGGATTTCCCGCCTCTTCGTGCTCCCCAGCAAAGACAAGCAAATGCGCGGGTGCAGAAGCTTTCGGTGATTCTGCTGGGCTCTCCATCCCCCCTGGATTCTGGAGACAACCAACAGTGCAAAACAATAACCCCAATCTGTTCTCAGCAGACGAACTGATGGAAATTTTCATCAACATGTCCGGTGCTCTTCGTAAGTGCCGCAATAAGCCCGAACAGATCCAGCATGGCGTCTAAACCACTAAGTATCGTCATCTGGAATGCTTGCTCTGTAAGAGCAAAAGATATTGAGCTTGCCGATTTCCTCCGCAAGCACAGCATCGTCGTGGGCCTTCCAACCGAGACCCATCTAAAGTCCGGCGACAGCTTCTGGTTGCCTGACCACAACATTATTCGGCTTGATCGCACCAGCTCCAGGGAGGGGGGGGGGGGGTGGTGTTGCGGTCGTCGTCAAGAAAGGAA